ATTTTTCAAAAAACGATGATTAAAAAAATAAATGAATAAAATTAAAATAAATGGCCGGTGCGTCCACTTACACAACTGTCTTTACAACCCTGAGAAGTTCATAGAACCCTTTTTGAAATGTTTTGGCAAATATTAACCCGAATCAAGTGAAAAAATTAGCTTTTAAATGAATATTTATTTAGCTTTAGATTTTTTTAAATTACAAAAAATTAACTTGTTTCCACGACTATATAAAAAAAACAAAACATCGAATACTTTAAATGCTAAAAATAAAAACGGATACAAGATCAAATACTCCGTATCTTTGCTGATACCTGTCAAATTTAAATGATTTTTGTTTTCTTTTTTAAACAATGCATTAATATTTATAAATGATTAAATAAATTCTTTCATGATACGTTATACTTTTTGAGTTGTATGATGAATAAAATTAGTTTTAATAAAGACCTTTTTCCTTGTTTGTTTTTTTGAGAATAACTAAAAAAAAATTCTAAAATAAAGTAAGTTTCATTAAAATCATTGTAAAAATAAATTTGAAACTCAGTAAACAAAAAAAAAAAAAATACATAAAATAGATAAATCACGTTCTTCAACCATTGTGCGCAGACACTATCGCTCATGGGAAGTTAAGATGGTTACACACATTTCACAAACTATGGCAAAACAAATATATAAATGGTTATTTCACTATGATAGTATTAATATTTTTCATCGGCTGTCGATATCAACAGAAATAAAATACATAGTTTAGTATATAAATAATATCGCTGTTAGTTTACTTAGATAATTGCGTTATCCATAGTTCCATAGACATGTTTAAACGCACCTTCAGATTTGGTACACAGACGAAACATTATGAAAAAAAAACACAAACAACAAATCTGAACTTCCACCCCCCTGTTAAAGAGATAATTATCTTACAGATTGCATAGAAAGACCTTGAAACTCAAAGTTTGGTTGAAAACTGAACATAAAATATTCCATCTGTTTTTCTATTAGAGGCAGAAAAGTAAAAAAAAAATGAATAATTAATTTTAAAGTAATTAATTAGATGCAATCCAAAAATGACTACCCTTAAGTATTTCTTTTATAACTTTTCTTTCTTTTATAGCTGATTTTCTTATAAATTTAACAATTACAAATCAATATTAGTCCGTAGTACAGACGCCTTTTTATCAAATTATTAGCCTGAAACTTCGTGAATAGCTTCATTTCATCGTAACCTACAACTATTTTATTTACGAAAACTCATGGAATTGGGGCCTTTCTCTATGGGCAAATTTTGTCTACTTAATTAGGTACTAAAAACTCGTAAATACCTATTTGCTTTCCACTTAGATCGAAAGATAATTTTATAATAAAATCGAGAAAAAATGTGGTGTACAAAAATATTGGGTCGTTTGGCGTATATAACCTCGTTATTTTTAAATGTTGGAGCTGTAGGTCCAATATTTTTGTAGACCGCCTTTTTTTACAATTTCTTAATAAAATCTTTTATAAAGCTTTTTTATATCTAATGATCCAAGTGGAAAGCAAATGGGTATTTACGAGTTTTTAGTACCTAATTAAATAGACAAAGTTTGCTGAACTCCAGATTGAAAATTCCCCAATTTCAAGGATTTTCGTAAATAAAACAGTTGTAGGTTACGATGAGATGAAGCTGATCACGAAGTTTCAGGCAGGTGTTAATAATTTGATAAAAATGGCTCTGTACCACGCGCTATATTGTTTACGAAAAATAAAAATAAATGTCCAGAGTTAACGTTTCCGCTTTTAGTAAGCTGGCTTTCATAAGTTTGTTGATCGTAATCACATATTTCACCTGTCAAAAGTTAAATCTTTTTAAGTAGTGCTTAGTCTTTCATTAATCTTTGAAAGATTCTACTGACTTATATCTTTGGATTGCATTTAATCTTTTTATTTTTACAAATTAAATGGGATGAATTTATGTATAATACTTGAGTAAATTGTCGGAGTACGGCTTATTCGTTGAAGTTTACTAACGAAAAGTAAATAAAAAAATTGATTTGGCCCTTAATATCAGTAATGCGGCTGAATGAGATGCGCTGGGATTTTCTAGAGTTGTGCGTTTCCCTCCACGAGTAGGGGAGAAAGGCTTGGCTCGGAGATCTTAAGTGAATAAATTTTGTAAATTTATATAAATAAAATAAAGGTTTTGTCTGTACATTGAATAGAATCAACCCGCTTCATTTTATCTTCCCGTTTCATACATTACAGACACCAAATCCACTTTTAAAAAAATGTTTTGCCTGAATGTCTGCTTTGTACAACGAAATTTTGTCAAGGTTAAGCACAGCAATGGCTTATGGTAGACTTTTGACATTATATTTAGGTTTGCTTGACTTAAACATAGGCTTTAAATGAAAACCAAGTATTGAGTAGTACCAAAGTTCTGAATTCTTGAGTAATTTGTCTAGAGATCCTGGTTCAGAACCTAGCGGGCAAAAATCGAAATCCGATTTGCTCGATTGATTTGCTCGAGGTGTCATTCTATCAAGCTCGCCAAGTCAGATAAATATGCTAATATTTCATTTTTTTTTTTAATATGGAATGGCCGCGTAAAAAAAAAGTTTCACCTTATGTGTTACATTTATAGAAATCGTTAATACTTCACCCTACTCTACAGGAAAAATCCGACATCAAACCACACTTGTGCGTCCAAGTCACGCTGTTTCAACGATATTTGTATTATGACTATTGCGAAACCTTGGTTTTTATAAGCCCTCATAAATAATTTCAAAACAAACCATCCCCACCCAATTTCATGAAATTAAATTTGGATCCCCCTCTCCCATAATACAAAATCCATCTCAAAAAATATTCTCAAATTTTAACATACACCCGTCAACGACGGGTATTTCAACAAGTATTGTATAAAATCATGTGTTTATTTGGGCAGTTATTTTGGTTAGTTTAGTTACTTTTAATCTCGGTCAAACACCAATAGTTTCTATTCGTTTATATAAATTTACTTTTATTATTATTATTATGTTGCTGTTTATTTAATTTTATTTATTGTAAATAGTATGAATGAGCTACTCTTTTATCACTATTGTCCTTAGATGTGACAGATTTTAATATATTTCAATAAAGAATTTTCGAAACAAAAATATATATAATAAAATTATTTGAACTAGACCTATTTTTATGCATTGTTTATGCTAAAAGTAATACTGAACTGTTTTGTTGGATTTTTTTAAATTATGCATTAGATTGCTTAATTGAAAGAGAAATAGCTGATTGTGATTAGAATTAACTTACTGATTGTGAGTAATATGAAAATTAGTTTCGAAAATAGTTATACACTAGCTGATGTACCCGTTGTTGACGGGTATTTAGTTAAAATTTGAGAATCTTTTTTTGAGATAGATTTTGTACTATGGAGGGAAGGAATCAAAATTTAATTTCATAAAATTGAGAGGGGAGGGAGGAGGGTTGTTTTGAATTTTTTTTTATGGCGTACCTTATGGAAGTCAAGGTTTCGCAATAGTCATAATAAATACTTTGTTATTCGGCTATTTGTTCAGCTGCCACACAACTAAACCGACCACCACCGATCCATTAAAATTTGTTGTATTATATTTTTATTTATGATGAATCGAGGAGATTGTGGAGTCGATTAATTTATCAAAAAGAGTTGTAGTCTCTTCACTTCTTTAAGCTCTGCTGAGTTTATCGCTGGCAAAATAACCATAATAACATTGGACATTGAGTTTTTTTCTCCGATTTTGGCTAATCCGTTTGGCTAATCCTAAAAATATATACAACATTTCTTAAGCTCAGGAAGTTGAATCGAATGACGCTTTGAACGGGAAGATCGGACAAAAATGAAAAATGATTGTGTTTTAAGCTACAACGCATTACAGATGTTTGATGTATCGGATTTTCTCCGTTGAGTTATGATAATTTTTTCCATCATTTGAGTTGAACTTTTAAATGTGGCTCGCGGTAGAGTAGGTAGACATAAGAATCGAAGTAAGTAACTGCCTAACCGGGATCAAATTACTCAAGAATTCATAACTTTGGTTTTACTCAATATTTTGTTTTTATTTAATGCCCATGTTTTAAGTCAAGCAAAGTTAAATCTAATGTCAAAATTTCAAAAGTCTTCCATAAGCCATTGCTGAGCTTACCTCTGACAAAATTACGGCGGAGAATACGGACATACAGAGAGATAAACATTTTTTTAAAAGTTGATTTGGTGTTTGTAATGTATGAAACGGAAATATATCATGAAACGGGTTGATTCTATTCAATGTACAGACAAAAACTTTTATTTTATTTTTATAGATTAAACAATTTAAAATAATAATATCTACTGTTTCTGTAATTCTTATAATTCAACTCTGATGTTTTCAAGTGTTTGATATTGTTGTTTTTCTTCTACGATTAAACTGTACCAATCATCATTAAATTTTAAAAATAAAAAAGCAACACTCATCTGTAATGTTTATCTGTTTCGTGCTGTTAAAATTATTATAACTGTAAGTTGTATGAATTTTTTTTCGGTATAACTTTTTTTCTTTTCTGAGCAAGCGGATTAAGAGCCATACATCATTTATTTTCTGACATTTCATAAAAACGACAGTGTGGAAAAGTTTATCCTAGAGATTATTCGCTACAATTCTCTTCAACCTGCTATAAAGTATTAAGAGTAAGTGTTATCTATCATATTTGACATATAGAATTACTAAACTCCCTTTCCTCTATTTAAAGAAGCTTAACAAAATGCAGGGAAAACTATTAAACTATTACTATTTTCCTTAGGTGTGACAGATTCTAATGAAGAATTTTCATTAGTAAAAAAAAAATTGTAAGCTTGAATTAATTTTTTTTATATAATTTAGGAAAAGGGCTTAAAATGGAATGAACGGCTTAATAAAAATAGCCTAGAGCGCCAGTTATGGTATAATAACAGTACTCAAAACAGTAACTGAGTAAAGATCGAGATACAAAATATATATCTATATTGTGGTAGGATGTTTGAAACTAGGTGGTATGTAACTATTATATAGGTAAAGTTAATATTAAAGACCATTATATAAATTAATTCGAATATTATTTTTCACTAGTATTGCCCCAAAATACTCCGTATCAAGACCGTCTCATTGTATTAAGACTGAAACTGATGCAGACCCTGCAAGAACTATGTTGACCTGCGAGACTCCAGCGTCTGGCAGTTAAGCCAAACTAATATTTGGGCGTTCTTGAGTATTTGGTTCCAAAATCGATATTAGTAAGTATTCCTTACTATCGATTTCAAAACCACGACTCTTTCCATCTAACAACAAAGTTGGTCCTGATAACACCCAAAGTATTGATTATTATATTTTGAGGTATAGTTCAGAGCTTTAATATTTTAACCTTTCGTTTAATCTAAAGAGTGATTTTTTCTTATTTAATCGTATATTTGAGATAAGCACTCTAAATAATAACTAACAAATATTAGCAGGAAGATAAGAAAAACAAAAAAAAAAACTAAAAAAAGCGTTTTCATTTATAACAATTAAAGCGGAATTTGCTTTACCATGTTCGGCAAAAGAAGACTTTTAAATTATTTAACAGTTAATTTTATTAATTTGGATTTTTACTATTTCTCTATCAATATAAGCTCAAAATATACATATTCTCTTGTTTTGTTCTAAGATCAAAACTAATATGTGTAATCAATAGTAAGAGGCTAATAGCTAAATTCAATACGTATGAGACTCTTGTTATAAGGGTACTAAAACTTCTTGGGCAATATCAAGACCAAGACCAGGTGTGTTGATACAAGATCAAGACCAAGACAGCTCTTACTTAACGTTCATCTTGGTCTTGCATTTCAGTTTGACTATTTCTATATTTCGTTCATTACACGTATCTAATATTATAGGAATTGTATAATGTCCACTTCTTAGTTTCTATGCCGAGTTGAAGTGGCTCTATCCAGTTTTCTGACGGCAATATTTCCTAGGTGTATTTCTTTTCCGAACCTTTTCAATCAAAAAACCTTCTTACCTTCTTGATTTCTTTACTCCTTGTTCCTCTGTTCATTCGTTCCACACAAGATCCCAATCCTCAAATTTGTTTATTCCTTCTCATAGAACTGTTTCCTTTAAAAAATCCTTCCTCATACATGCTACCTCGTTTTGGAATTCCCTACAAACATCTTTACGTAAACCCTCATCCCTGACCTCATTTACACATAATTTATTTTTCCACCTCCTCAGTAATCAATCTTCCAAATATATGTAAAATAAAGTTATTTTGTACTTTAGAGATGTCAGCTACACTATACCGATATCTTGCAGATATCCATGTATGTGTCATATTGCTTATTTGTACAAATACGTGGACTCACCCGTATTTAATCATCTATAAATTCATATGTTTACTTCAAGATCATATGTTTACTACAGTGTCTTTATTTTTAATATTAAGAATTTTTAATATTATGAAATATCTGCATGTTTCTTTATTTTAATATTAAGATTGAACACCTGCAAATTAATTTATTTTTAGTTGTTATTCATAATCGCCAGACAATTGTCAATTCTCTGTTCATTGTAGTTATTCTAAGGGGACTAAATGTCCCAGAATAAAATTTACTTTCTTTCAATGTTAACTAATGTGATATACAATTTAAAGTTTATAATGTTAATAGAATTTATTTTAACCAAAAAAAAAAAACTGTTGCGGCGTGCGTATCACGTAACGGGCACTTAGCATTCTACTTAAATAATTTAACTGCTGCTAAAATAGGGCTAGTCAATATTTTATTATTTGAATCTACAGTCAAGCCTTTAAAGTTTCAAAATGACTTACGAAAGTGAGATGGAATATTGCCGGATCTGTTCAAATTAGGCCCGGAAAAAGGTAATAAGAACATCTCGTTAAAATGTAGGGATGCACGTCGGGTCGAATCATAAAATCCTTGGTTATGAAAATGATATATTTGTCCTTGGAAATAATAAAGAGGAGATTCGCTAAGATGTGATATGGGAGGCAGAGCAAATCAGTAAACTAGTAACTGAAGATAAAACAAAAATATAAGATAATAAGTCGAGAAATATACCCCAACAATAGGGACTGTTTTTATGAGAAATCATTGTTAAGAGTTGAAGAATTCAAATACTTTGGACCTACAATAACCTCAATATATGACCGAGCATCCGACATATACTAGCGATATGGCCCGCTGGCCAAAAAGTTTGGAGATCCCTGGACTTGTTAAGATAAACTAAGTGGTTGTAGCATTCTAATGTCAGCTCTCGATGCTTTCTTATTTTCTACAGCACACGTTATTGGAAATAAAATAATATACAACATTATATGATTTTATTGCCACCAATGAAAGTTAAAAAAAAACACTTACAATTAAACGTTTTTTAGTAAAATTAATGTAATAAAAATTAACATAAACCTTTAATTATAATGTATATAAGTCTATTATAATATTGCATACACAAATACACGAGCCAGCTTGAATGAAACCAACTATTTATCACAATTTTATCTGCGTGTGGGTCACAACATAAAAAAACAAGATATTTCGCTTGATAGTGTAGGAAAATGATTAATACAATTGGGCCACGTCAGATAATAATTCGCAATGATTATTCGGATTAATTATATAACTGTGAAAAATGTCTGACAAATTAAAGTCGTCTTGAAAACATCGAAAAAAGTTTAGAGACATATTCCTTCCGACAAAGAAGCCAAGATATCGAATGCTTGATATAAAGCACTGCTACAATAGAAGAATGTGATGGAATAACGTAACGTCTACCCGGATGATACAGCCATCTCTTATTAAAACAAAAATCCATTGTCCAATCATATTTCCCATATATTTCTAATATTTTCACAAAATTAATTTTACTCCATTTGTGAATGCACAGAGGGGCAATCAAGCAGATCTGATGTAACTTATTATTTTCAGACAATTTGCTTGATAATTTAGTTATTGTATGAAGGAGCAGATCTCTGGACCATTTTCTTTTCAATCTGTGTCGGACAGGTAATAGGCAGGAGGACATTGGTAGAAAGAGTGGATTGAGGTAGTTTTCGAGTTGAAGAGTGAAATGTAGTGTATTTTTCTAGGATGTAAGATTTTACTGTTGAAATGTTTAAGTCGCTATTTTTAACAAAATATAAACAAAATACAAAGAACACAATCAGATATTCAACGAAAAAATATTAACATACCATGGTATATATATAAACTCGGCGCCTATGGTATATATATATATATATATATATATAGAGGCATGGAAGGACATTATTTGGAATATATAGACCTGTATGCAATATATAATATATGGCTATACTATAATATAGTCCGCGGTACAGACCCATTTTTGTCAAACCATTAACATCCGTCAAAAACTTCGTGAACGGCTTCATCTTATAAAATCTACTATTCTTTTTGTATTTGTATAAAACATACGTGCTCATAAAACCTATGTTGCCAAGACTTTTCAAGAAAAATTAGATGTAAATAAACAAATTACGAAAAATCTATGATTCTCACAATTTTTGCAGATGACTCGGCAATCTCAACACGTGATGCGGATGCATGTGAAATTGTCTTTGTAATCGTATCATCAAATTGACTAATAAGGAAACATGTTAGGTTATAAATCTTCGGAAAAGATTGGAAATCGTTATTCCTAAAGGTGTAATAAATTAATAAAGACTATAGTTTCCTCTCTGAATATAACCATTAGCTAAAGCAATAGCTACGATAGCTGGAAAATTCGTCCAGCTCTGGACCCTACCTACTGAGGAGGCTTTAGGAATTGGTAATTTTTCTTAATTTAATGAAAAGTTTTTTTTTATTAATTATTTATTGAAATTTACAAATGTATTAGTTAACAAACACAACAAGTAAATTTTAGTTTAAATATGACATGAACAACATAAAGAGAAACTACCGATTGGCACTGGCGGATCTACGGGAGAGGGGAGGGCTTTCGGGCTGATGTCCCCTCTCCCCTCCAAAATGGTAAAATATAACCATGTTTTATAGAAAAAAATATTAAAAATTATCTGTCAAAGTATTATTGTTTGTGTAATAACATTCAATAGAACTTCAAGAATCACTTCCACATCATTTCATAGTTTCTTTCTTTTCCTTTCCGAAAAAAGCTTTCGGATTGGAGCCCTTCCCCCAAAAAAATTAAATCCTGGATCTGCTAGCACACATTGGTAAAACTCCAATTATAGTTTTATGTTAGAAGATCCCGAAGCCATCTTCTTCTCAGACGCTTCGGAGGGTTATCAGAATAGAAGAGGAAGTAAGGTTAGAAGCAAGAGGGTTTGGATGGTTCAGAAGTTTGTTATGGAAGGATAGGTATCTGCATTGAGCCAATTCGGACACTTAACGAACTAATAATAATAATAATTTTAATAATAATAATAACACAGTGGAAGAGAAGACTTCAAAGGAAAATTGATACCTTACGTGGAAAAATTGGCGTCATCTTGAACTATATTCGTAACCCTCAAGCTGCAAGATCTAAGACAAAAAGGAAGATAGATGAGATTATAGTACAGAATTTGGGAACCGTAATGGAATGTGAGTTAATTGATAGTCTGACTCGATATCTAGATATTCTGAAACAAAAGCTGGCAGTTTACGCCAGCAGATTGCGCAGATATAGTGAGGCAGCTTTACGCAGGAAACAAAATCAGCTGTTCAAGCAGAATGAACGTCAGTTTTATAGAAACCTTGTAAAAGAAGAAAAAATATCGATCAAATACCCTGATGACATTGAAATCCATTGGAGAAATTTATGGGAAAAATCGGGGAATCACCTCGAGAGTTCTTGGATACAAGAAGAACTGCAAAGTCTTCAGAATGTCAATGGAATGATGGAAGTGCCCATAACTGTGGAAGATGTTTCGGAAGCGGTCAGAAACATGAAAAATTGGAGGTCACCAGGACCTGACGGAATCCAAAATTACTGGATTAAAAGATTTCATTGCTTCCATGAATTGCTGGCCAAAGGTTACCAGGAAATACTTGAAGACAAACAGAGCCCTCCTGATGGTTTCTCTGATGGCATCACGTATATGCTTCCGAAAAAGAATGATTTAAACATGCGTCCTGAAGATTTTCGGCCGATAACGTGTTTAAATGGTCTGTATAAAATTCTAACTTCCATCTTGGCAACTAAGATATATGAACACCTCGAAAG